TGTTGCCACAAGCCCCACCCATAACCTTCAGGGCTCCTGGTGACTTCCAAGAGGAAGGGACACCGAGGTACTGGGGCACACAGCTGCTTAGCTTGCCCAACCAGTACCTTGGCCTGCTCAAAAGCCTCTTGAGCCTTTACATTCCAATCCCATGTAGCAACTCTCTTTATTAGATTATACAGGGGATGGGTGACCTGAGCAAGGTGAGGTATAAAAATTCGCCAATACCCTAGAAATCCCCGAAATACCTGTAACTGTTTGGCATTTATTGGTACAAGTTGTTGTAAGAGTTTTTCAACTGCTGCACTGGGTATCATGTGAGTTTTACCTGACCATAAACTCAAGAATTTTACTGCTGCACCGGGCTGTAGTACCTTGTGCGAGTTGATTCCTCATCCTTTCGAGATACTTCAGGTGCACTTGCATGCCCCCCAAATGAGCTTCCAAATCTGTAAAGCACTCAGAAGTTAGCATTATGTCATCTATATAGTGGAACCACCTTATAGAAGGAGGCAGGGTAATAAGACCAGGTCCCAGGCCACCAGCCCATGACAAATTGTGAGGCTGTGGAGGGAATCTTGGGGAAGTACTCTGAAAGTCCATTGTCATCCATTCTACATGAATGCAAATTGGTCTTGGGATTCAGCAGCTAGGGGAATACTAAAGAATGCATTATTGAGGTCCACACAGCATGGAAGGACCCCATTTCCTGCACCATCTGTTCAGTTAGCAGTGCAGTGTTGGGCACAGCTGCATGAAGGAGAGGTACCACCTTATTTAACTCCCTGTAATCTACAGTTATCCTTCAGGGGCCATCTGGCTTCCTGATAGGCCAAATGGGACTACTGAAAGGGCTCTGGGCTGGGTGGATAATCTCTATCTGTTCTAGTTCCTGGATGGTTTCTGTAATTTCGTCTTGACCCCCAGGCAGCTGGTATTTGTTTGATATTCACCACCCTCCATGGGGTGGGCAATTTGACTGGTCCCACCTTGCCCATCCCCCAAGTAATCACTTTTACTGTTCGCACTGTCAGTTGAAACTCCCATGGTAATATGTAGGGTGTGACCCAGTAGGGCATCCACCCTTAGAATGTTCTCTGGCAAAGAGGACAGCCTCATATCCCTCTCCCATTCTAATTTCTCTCTAACACCTTCAGTTTCCCTTCTGGCTAAGGCGCTGCCTGGAACAGGTTTCTTATTATCAATAGCCATGTCCAAGTGGCCTCTGCAGCTGCTTTTTGACATTTATGTCCCTGGTGTGCTACTCCCTGAGATTGCAGAATCTGTTCCAGATCTTCTGCTGTTTTCAGGGCCTCTCCATATTCATGTGGCAGCCCCCACCAGTCAAGCAGGTGTGCCACCCCATACCATCTACAGCTGCCTGGAACAGGTTTCTTATTATCAATAGCCATGTCCAAGTGGCCTCTGCAGCTGCTTTTTGACATTTATGTCCCTGGTGTGCTACTCCCTGAGATTGCAGAATCTGTTCCAGATCTTCTGCTGTTTTCAGGGCCTCTCCATATTCATGTGGCAGCCCCCACCAGTCAAGCAGGTGTGCCACCCCATACCATCTACAAGATGGCTGCCAACCTGGGATCTCTCCCATCCACCTCTACTGTTTAGAAGGCCTCACCCTAGTTACATATCTCACTGTCCACTGCGTTAACCATGCCACTGCAGCCACCCCCACCAGGCCTATGGGAATGGCCCACCAGGTTAATATTTGCTCAGCCCACACTCTCCCTTCACCCCACTTTACTTTGGTTGTTGGAATCTTTCCCCATACCAGGGACATCATCAACACCCTTCGAAAACTCATTCTCAGTTTTGTCCTATCCTTCCGGGCTATGACAATTGTAAGTCAAATTCACTACTGGGAGGTGCACATGGCATCATATCCCCTCCTCCCACAGTCCTTGTGACAACCTGAGGAAAAAATTTTCCAAATTCCGATTTGAAGAATTTTAATGAGCTTATTGGACTTGCTAACAGAGCTTGGGGTTTGGGTTTACTTACAGACAAGCGGGCACAACCCCCCATTCATGGCTGTGTTCGAAAGTCCACACCCAGACATAAATCTGGTGGTTCCAGACAGCCTTACAAAATAGCAAGGGACAGCCTTGTGGTTTTCCCAGGTTTTATACCCTTAGCCCCTCCCCTGCAAGTGGCTATCATCAACAGAATGGCTGAAAGAGGGAAGGAGTGGCTTCTTTGCAGAGCATGGGAAGGAGGTGGGTCCATGGCTTTTCATCACAGTGTCAGAGGAACATCCTCAGGGTCACAGTGACCAAAACACAGTTGAAAAAGTTTCCTAAACTTGGTGACACACTGATAAATAAAGTGTGTCTTTAACTGTGAAACTTGTTGATTCTCATATACATCTACATTCTGAAATTAGTGTCAAAATCTATGTAATTGACACCTCCACCACGAACACAGATACCATTTTCTGTGTTCGGTTTGGTTCTCACACTGAATAATTAAGACACACCTGCTTGGCAGGTTTTCACTGTGTGGTGCTGTGCTCTTGTCTTTGCCCTGCAGAGGTATGGAGACCTGCTAATCACAGGAGAAGGATCACATGTGTGCTAGATGAGAGACTCTCAAGATCTCTGCACACCACTTGGTCTGGAGCTTATAGAACTGACGGACATGATGGTTGATGATCAGGTTCATCTGAGAGGGCATCATGTTGGCCCCTACCCACCTTTGGTTCATCCTGGCAAAATCATATGAGGGTCTGACCCCCCTGATTTCAGAACTGAGGCAAGGCTGTTGGCTGAGCCTTTCTGGAGACACCATATGGGCACACGGCCATGGTATACCAACCCACAGAAGTTCCCCACTAAGCACTGGACACTTGGGTCCTGAACATTCTGTCTGTATGTCTCAGTGGGCCCCAACCATTGGCATCCTGATCTGCTTAATGATCATAGTAGGTCTAGTACTTCACTTCTCCACCCTTCCCTGATAAGAGGACCCCTCCTTTCCCTCCCCCCTAGGCACAAACCTTTCAGTTCATGACTGCTTAAACACCACTTTCCCATAATGGGAAATTTCCCACCTCATCAGAAGGTGCCACAATTACAGGCCCTCAAAGCGCTACTTCTGCAGCACAGTTTTAAGGTGAAAATGGGAGACCTTAATGGCTTTTGGGATGAAATCCTAATTTTGGCCCCCTGAATTAGACCAGAAAACATCTGGGACTCAACTATTTGGTCTCATGTTCTCTTCCTTGCAAGGAAGCATGAGGTCCATGAGGGGAGTATTCCTTCTCCTCCATTTTTTCCTATCCTTCTAGCTATAATTGCCAGTCTCAAGGGCTCTTCCATGGAGGAAGTCATCTCCCAACATAATGAGAGTTGTAAAGAGGACCCCAGACTGGCCCTACAAGCCTTGTGCCTCTCATCACTGAATGACGATTCTGATGAGGACGAGGATCAGCCTATTGATGATACAGGTCCCCCTGCCCCTCCCCCCAACTACTCCTGGGGCGAACTCTGTCCACACCATCCGGGCTAAACCCATACAGTTGCTGATTCATTTCCAAACATGGCAAAGGCCACCATCACCCCCAGCGCCCCCACCACCACCGTTCCTGTTAATGTGGGGCAGGACGTGGCTCTGAGGCCCTGGATCCCCACCCCCTTACTGATTTGGCTCTCAGCTGAAAGGCAGCACAGGAGTCTGGAGTCGACTCCCCATACTTTGAACAGGTTCTCCTGCAATGGGCAATTCATTTCCAAACGCATTATAATTGGCACTTTCTCTTAAAGGGAGTGCTCCAGTCTGTGGAGTTCCTCCAATGGAGAGCCACCTATAATGACCTGGCTGAGACACAGGCTTTCCTAAACCTCCAATTGGGGATCCCTATCACTCTGGACATGCTCCTTGGCATAGGCCCCTATATGGACCTCGTGGCTCAGGCCACAGTGGGCATTCATGCCTACTTTGAGCAGATTAAGAGCCTAGCCCTGCAGGGTCTTAAAGCCTGCCTTCCCCAGAAACCAGAAACTTTCTTCCATAATTTGGTACAAGGTCCCTCCGAGGGTTTTACAGAATTCCTTACTCGAGTCCCTGAGTCAGTGGACCAGCGCACCCCACCTGGACCCTCCAGGGATGCACTGATCAAGCAATTGGCTTGGGAAGAGGCATCCGCAGTGGCTCATAATGCCATCACTGCCCTTCATAATGAGTATCTCCATAAATGGATAGTTGCCACCAAGGATTTAAATCCCCTGGCAGCCCCCTTCGAGGCCTTGACTGCCTCCATACAAGCTTTGAAAATGAACCATAAACCCTCCCCTCTGCAACCTATTTGCTGGGGTTGCAGCCAACCTGGACACCTTCATAGATCATGGCCTGCTGCTAACAAACTCCCCTAAGACCCTGTACCCCTTGCCTCAGATATCGAAAGGGCTATCATTGGGCCAAGAACTGCATGCAGGTCGACAGTGCCTTTAAACTTCCCCTGGGGTAACCCTCAGCCCCGCAAGTAAGAGGGAGGCCTCCTCAAATACGGTGGATGCTGCCTATTCTTGACCATTTGCCATGCATGTTGGTGTTCTTGGGCAGGGTTGAATTCAAAGGGGTTGCAGACACCAGTGCAGATGCCACTTTTGTCTCTACCAATGATGCCCTCTGTATGACTCACTGGGCATTCACACCAGGCCCCAATATCAAGGGTGTCGGTGGCCTCCAAGCCACGAGGCAGGCCAGGAGGCCTGTTACGTGGGAGGACTATAATGGTAACACAGGAAAATTCCTCCCCCTGTTGGCAGATGTCCCTAACACCCTCTGGGGCAGAGATATCCTTGCTGACATGGGTTCTGTCTTGACAACTGATGATAAAGCCTGTTATGATGATGTCATTACTCATGATGCCACAGGTCTTTCGGGACACCCAAATATTTCCAGTCCAACCAATGTTCATCTTCATCCCAAAATCTAGAGGCCACTGTTCAACCTCTTATTGCTCCCATGCAGCTCAAGTGGGATACCTCGGACTCTATCTGGGTTGAGCAGTGGCCTATTCTGGAACCCAAGCTTTCCATACTCAAATCCCTTGTTCAGGAACAGCTTGACCTTGGCCACATCAAGCCCTCTATCAGCCCTCATAACTCCCCAATTTTTGTCATCAAGAAGTCTGGTAAATACAGGCTCCCCCATGACCTCCGTCAGGTCAATAAACACATGCCTAAGATGGGCTCCTTCCGAACAGATCTCCTTCATCCTGGATTATACCTAACTCCTACCAATTAGTTGCCCTGGATATCAAGGATTGCTTCTTCTCCATCCTGTTAGCAGATGAGGACAAACCCTACTTTGCCTTTACAATCTGGGAACCCAACCACTCCATCCGCACCAAAAGATATCAGTGGAAGGTTTTACCCCAGGGGATGAAAAATAGCCCCTCCATCTGCCAATTGTTCATTTCCTCTGCCACGTCAGGGATACGCTCCAAATGCATCTTCATACATTACGTGGATGATCTCTTTATTGCTCATCCCTCCAGGACAGCCCTCCTGGACCTCCTCAAACTGGTTCTTGAGGACATTAAAAGCCTTGGGCTGTCCATTGCTAAGGAAAAGATCCAAGTCCTTCCCGCCTTTTGCTTCTTGGGTTTGAAAATCTCCAATGTTCAGCCTCTTGCCCTGACTCTCCTGATACAGGATCAGTACTTTCTCAATGACCTCCAAAGACTCTGTGGTCAAATTAATTGGCTCAAACCCTTTCTCCCATTTTCCCCCACTGATCTCCATCCCCTTTTGCACCTACTTAAGACCATGGAATATCCCCCTACAAAAATCTTCTTGCCCCCCCACCAGGTAGTGGGACTGTTGCACAAAATATCTCACTCCCTCCTGTCTATGACCCTCGCGAGATATGATCCCTCACTCCTGATCCTGAACATAGTGCTTTGGACAGGAGGTTGACCCTTGGTAGTAATTTGGCAACACCAGTCTCCCCTCTTGGTCCCAAACACATAAACTCGCTACAAAAGTGGAGGTGATGCTCCTACTGGTGATAAAAATGCGCAATTACACCAATAAAATTTACAATACTGAACCCTTAAAGATAATTCTACCCCTTCCCTTGTTGGAGCTACAATCCCTCTTTAGGGATGACCCCCTCTTCCATTGCTTGATGGTAGGATTCCCCAACAAAATAGATAACCACCTCCCTGCCAACAAACTGCTCCAATCTCTTGCTAATTTACCCCTGAAGACCAACCACTTTTCCTGGCCCTCTAGCCAACCAATCCCCCTGGCAGCCTCGGCATTCACGTTTGCTAATAAACACACATTTGGTGTTGTTATAAAAAAGAACTAACTGACCTGATGAGGCTTTCAAATTCCCCAACCCATACTCCATCCAACTTGGGGAATTACAGGCCATTCTTAAAGTCCTGGAGGCATGCCAACAAGAGCCCATTAATATCTTTTCTAACAGCAACTACACCATCCAGATGACAAAGTGCCTCCCTTTGACAAATACCAGGCCTTCTACTCTCCCCATAGATTTGGCCATCACTGCCTTAAAATTGCTAATGGACAATAGCTCTCAACGGTGGTTCATTGAACCTGTATGATCACATTCTGACCTGCATGGCTTTATTGCCGACAGCAATGCACAAGTCAACAGACTCATTGCCGCCTCATCCTTACTACCCTTGAAGGCCTCCCTTTGACAAATCCCAGGCCTTCTACTCTCCCCATAGATTTGGCCATCACTGCCTTAAAATTGCTAATGGACAATAGCTCTCAACGGTGGTTCATTGAACCTGTATGATCACATTCTGACCTGCATGGCTTTATTGCCGACAGCAATGCACAAGTCAACAGACTCATTGCCGCCTCATCCTTACTACCCTTGAAACAAACCAGGAGGCTACACCAAAGACTTCATTTATCTCCATCCACTCTATGGACCTTCTACCCTGAGCTATCATTGAGTCAGTGCAAACACCTTACTCGTTCATGCAAGGCTTGTGCTCCTCTGGCCCCCTTAGGGCCATTACAGCCTCTGGGATTAAATCCCAGAGGTCTTACCCCAACTTCCCTGTGGCAGATGGATATTACCCATATCCTGTCCTTTGGCAAGCTCAAGTTTGTACATGTCACCGTAGACACCTATTCCAAGTTTGTCCACACCATCACCCTCTCCAGAGAGATGGCCTCCCAAGTTATCAAGGCCACAAAACCACCATGTTGATCATGGGTGTACCCTGGTCAATCAAACCAGATAATGGCCCTGCATATACTTCTGCCCAGTTCTCTTCCTTCACGGAGTCTTGGGTTATCAAGCATTCCACTGGAATCTCCTACAACCCCCAAGGGCAAGCCATTGTAGAAAGAACCAACCACATGCTTAAAGAACTCATTCTGAAACAAAGCTCCAATATGTTGCCCAGGGACCCTCACTTGATATTTGTAGAGGCTCTCTTTACTGTTAACTTTCTCACCTTTGATAAAGCAGGAATGTCTCCTTCTTACAAGCATTGGAGATCTCAACTTGCTACGACCCCCCTACCCTTAGCCCACTGGAGAGACCCTCTCACTGGTGCTTGGCAGGGGGCTCCACCCTCTCTTAACACAGGGCTGAGGATATGCTTGTGTCTTTCCAGAGTCCTCACAGACTCTGGTCTGAGTCCCTGCCTGCAACATTTGCCCTTCCATTGACACTGGAATTGACATGGAGAACCAAGATGTTACAGGGAGCCACTTACCAGCTATGAACTCCCGGGGAGCCAATGCATAACATATTGTCAGCTATCTCTCATCCATGAAGTGTGCTTTCTTTTTCTCTAGCCCTCATAGGTTCTCACTCCATCTCCAATACACCCTTCCTGTTGCCACTAGATGCCAGCTCAGCTACGTCATGGAACCCCCTATGCCTCCTTCATGACAAGCCAAACCTCTTGGGTCTTTTCACCAGGATGGTGGATAGTAAATGACGGGTAAGACCTCAATAGTTGAGGCAACCTAAGACAGGCACCACTGCTTGAGGTAATCCCCTGAGGCCTGGGGTCAACAAGGATATGGCAAAGAACCATGCCTCCCAGGGTCACATTTATTTAAAACAAAAAAGGAGGATATGTATGGCATAAAAAAGAACTGGTCCCAGCTCAGGCTGCCTGCCACAAGGAATGGGGAAAGGGCTTCCGCATATGTGATGGCCCAGCACAGTCAGGCATGGCAATGACAACCTCCTGAATCTGCCTGGAGACAGACTGCCATTGGATACCGTAGGATGGTGTGGGAAACCATGGTTGGCTAGCCAACCCCTTATAATCCAAATGCTTCCTGGAATAAAGGAATCTGCAGCAGCTCGCCCTCTCCTTGCTTTCACCTGACTCCTGGTGTCTGTGTCGTGACTCCGCGCCTCTCACCCCCATATCAGCAGGGACCCTGTGTTCCCCTCCAGCTCGCTCCAGGGGAGGACAGTAACAAATAGTTTCTTCTAATAGTTTCAGGGTTGCAAGTTTCACATTGAGGTCTTTGATCCATTTTGAATTGACTTTCATGCAAGGTGAAAGATAAGGATCCAGTTTCATTCTTCTACAGGGGGAGATCCAGTTTTGTCAGCTGCACTTGTTAAAGATGCTGTCTTTCCTCCGTTGTGCATTTTTGGCACCTTTGTCAAATATTGGGCAGCTGAAATTGCATGTACTTGGCTTTGGGTCGTCAGTGATGCTCCATTTATCTATGTGTCTATTTTTGTGCCAGTACCATGCTGTTTTTATGACTATAGCTCTGTAGTATACTCTGAGATCTGGTATAGTAATCCTCTCCCCCCGCCCAGCATTGCTCTTTGTGCTCAGGGTTACTTTGACTATCTGGATATTTTTGTGCTTCCATATGAATTTAAGGTTTTTTTTTTTCTAATTCTGTGAAATATGTCATGGGGATTTTGATTGGGATTACATTGAATCTATATATTCCTACTGATTTTTGTAGATTGATTTTATAACTTGCCACTATGCTGAAAGTGTTGTTCAGTTCTAGGAGTTTCTGGTGGAACTTTTGGGATCGCTTAGTTATAGTATCATATCATCTACAAAAAGTGATAGTTTGACCTCTTCTTTTCCAATTAGTACTCATTTAATTTCCCTCTCCTGTCTTATTGCTGTAGCAAGAGGTTCAAGCAATATGTTGAAAAGGGGTGGAGAATGTGGATATCCTTGTCTGGTGCCTGATTTCAATGGGAATGCTTCCAGGTTTCCTCCATTTAGAATTATATTGGCTGTGGGTTTGTTGTATATAGCTTTAATTATGTTGAGGTATATTCCCTCCATTCCAATTCCCTCTAGGCCTTTGCAGATAAATGCATCCTGAATTTTGTCAAAATCATTTTCTGCCTATATTGAGATGGCAATGTGGTTTTTGTATTTGATTCTGTATATATGATTAATGATGTTTATTGACTTGCATATATTGAACCATTCCTGCATCTCCAGAATAAACCTATTTGATCATGGTGAATGATCCTTTTGATGTGTGTCTGTATGTGGTTTGCAAGTATTTGGTTGATAATTTTTGAATCTATATTCATTAAGGGTATTGGTTTATAGTTTTCTTTTTTGGTTGTGTCTTTGCCCGATATGGGTATCAGAGTGAAGCTGGCTTCATAGAATGAATTTGGGAGTTCTCCCTCTGTTTCTATCATTTTGAATAATTTAAATAGTGTTGTCTGGAGTTATTTAAATGTCTGGTAGACTTCTGTTGTACATCCATCTGAGCCTGGGCTGTTTTTAGTTGGGAGGCTTTGTATTACTGTTTTGATTTCTTTATATTATATGGGTCTGTTTAAAATGTTGACGTCTTCTTGGTTTAATTTTGGTGGTTCCCAAGATTTTAGATATCCATCCATTTCTTTTACATTTTCAAATTTAGTAGCCTATACATTTTAAAAATATCCCCTTATAGTGATTTGGATCTTTTGGGTGGTGTCGTGATGTTTCCTCTTTCAACTCTGATTTTGTTGATTTGGATTTGCTCTTTCTTTCTTTTGGTTATATGGCCTAGGGTTTGTCTATCTTGTTTAGCTTTACAAAGAACCTGCTCTTAGATTCATTGATTCTTTGTATTGTTTTCTTTGTTTCTATTTCATTAATTTCTGCTCTTATTTTTAAATTATATTTACTAACCACATGATTAGAAAAAGCATTTCATTAGAGCATTAACATATTTAAATAACAATTTCCAGAGCAAAGATGTATCTCTTTCAATATTGGCTCTCAATTTTTAGGTTCACCGTTGAATTAATACAGTTATACAATATTGAACTCAGTATAAACCCTATAAGACATAAAATTGAATGAGGTTTTAATCTTTAAAATATATCTCTATTTCACTTTAAAATATACTGTTTCATACAGAAAAACTCATTTTTAATGATATTAAGACTCAGATGTGTGCACATGTGTCCCTAATCTCTATGTATCTGATTATTACTAGTCACAGTCGGTTACTTTCTGGGATCCATCTGAGCATGGATACAAAATCATCAGATAGATTTCAAAGGTAATATGTTTTACCTCTACTAATTAACATGGAGCAAATTTTTATGCTTCCTCCTCAAATATAACTCATTTTTCTATTTGTTGATTCGGTATGTGTATTTCATACAGACATCCCAAACAATCTTATTCATCTATACACCCACTTCCTAAATGGCGCCCTCCAATACCGTCCCATGGAG